CCAAATCTCATCAGCCTTCCTATTTTTTGAAACATTGCCTTTGGAGTTCTTCCTAGTGATCGATGTTCTACTGCCAATTGAATTCCTGGACCTCAAACGTAGGGCCATCTTACCTTTCCCAAACTGAATTTTCTCTTTTTTCTTTCCGTTGGGCCTCTCACGAGAAGACAAAGATAGACCATATAATGGATCTATCAAGCAAGAGGGTTTAATCTGGTCACGTGATTTGTAGAAAGGATATCTGGTTCAGTCTCTAATCCCTTCGGTCCATATCTTACCGGTGCAGTACTTTATCCATATAAGTCCAAGCTTTGGGCCCACCCCCTTCGACTTCCTTTTTTCAACAACTGACACTTGACCACCCGCCAATGGATTTGAATTTAAGATCTCCACATAAGAGGGATTTGGCACTGTTGGATGAAACTCAAAATTATTCAAATAATTAGCCTTAAAAGGAACAGCCCAATGGTACATTTGGATCCATCTTTTCATTTCCAAAAGTATTTTCTTCTGTCCCAAGCCTTTCTTGCTCCAGCCAAAGATTTCCATGTAGTACTCCACTTTCCAGGTCAGCTCCTTATTCTTCCTCCTCCGTTCCTATTAACCAGAGTGACACTTCGACAGCCAAAACCAACCACCCTTCTCCTTCAGCCTGCACCCCCACTTTCCCAAGTGAAACTTCTTTCCCCCACACACCCCTTCCCTTAAGAAATCCCTCTGAACTTTTTCAATTTTTTCAGCCACCTTTGTCTGTATCTCTAGTAATGACATGTAATAAGTTGGTAAGCTTGAGAGGACACTTGACTAATGTTATTCTCCCCCCCCCAATGATAAGTATTTTGCTTTCCACCCATCCAACCTCTTCTCAACGCTCTCCATAATTGGCCTTCATAAAACACCTGGGTTTGAAGATCCCCCAGTCAGCATCCCTAAGTAGGTGAAAAGAAGTTCCCCAAGCAGTTGGGATTTCATCAGATTGAAGCAGGAGACTCAAGGTCAGTAATAGGATGGATGCAGGAAGGAAGCTTGGGGTTATGAATACATAGACAAGCTATGAGAGAAATCTGGTCGCTAACAAGGAAATAGATGTAAAATTTAATTGGGTTAGAAGGTCAGCCAATAGTTTGGCTGATGGTTTAGCTAAACAAGGACCAACTAGGACTGATTTCTTTTCGGTAGCGGGCAGCCTAGTAATAAGAGATTACTTTCTGGGTTACAGCACTCTCTTTGGGTGCCTGTTCAAAAAACTTGCATTAACCTCTTATTAATTTAATGAAAATTACCATTTCTGATCAAAAAAGTAGTTTCCATAAATTCCCACAAATCAACTTCACTCCCACATGGACAGAAGTTTAGACTGAAACTGAAGTTTAAAACCATTCAAGCATTACTCTCCCGAGACTTCATTCATAAAACTACTAAGAACTTTAGCAGGAATTTTCTCAAGGAAGAACTAGAAAAAAAAAATGATGCTATAATAAGGTAACAGATATAGCCAGTTGACCAAGTTAAAAACAGCTATGTTTGAGTGCTGTATAGTCAATTAAAAAGAATATCCTACAGTATATAATTTTCATTTTTTTATCAGCCAGAAATTTAGAATTATATTAAAGTATGAAGCTGGTTAGTACAATAAAAGGGTATATCCACCCAAAATAACAATCCAGTCCCAACAAAGTCACAAGATCACAATATTCAAAAGTTAGTTGTCGAAGGAGACTCCAAGATAGTTATAAGTTGGCTACAGGACAGTGGACTTTGGAAATATGCCAATGAGAGAGGGGAGTTCAAATGGCTAACCAGGGGGTTAGAAATTCAGATTCAATGGGTGAAGATAAGTGCAAATGCTTTTGTGGATACTTTAGCAAAACAAGAGATGGGAAGGGAGAAAATGTTCTGGGCTATAATATAATTTCTTGATTCTTGATATCTTGGGGAGAGTTAAGACATTTTATCTCTCCCCAGAGGATTATATGTAATTGCTGTTTTATTAATGAATAGTTTCTGTTATTGATCAAAAAAAAAGTTACAAGATTGCAATAGTACCCAAAACGATAGTTCTCTATTCACCCCTTGTTTTGCTAGAGTATCAACCATCCATTTGCTGTCCTTCTAACCCAATTGAAAGTTATGTCCAGCTCCTGCTTGATGCTTTCTATTTCCCTAAACTCATGCCTATAGGTCCATGATGCTTTCTATATCCATCTCCTGCTTGATTGGTTTCATTTTTTTTTGTTGAAGTTTGACCTGCCATAGAATTCTGTCTTGTTCGTTGACTGTAGAGTAAAGTAGACAGCAAGAAGTAGGAGAGGAAAGAAGAAAAGAGAGAAGAGAGAAAAGAGAGAAAGGCTGGTTCGAATTAGGGAAAAAGTTGATCCCTTGATTCGGCCAGACCTGTTATTATATTATTAACTTATTNGAGAAAAGAGAGAAAGGCTGGTTCGAATTAGGGAAAAAGTTGATCCCTTGATTCGGCCAGACCTGTTATTATATTATTAACTTATTGGAAAAGACTTGAGTGCCMTTCTTTAAGTAAGAGGCACTCGAACTAATATAACAGTACACATCAGCATTCTCAACAAGTACAAAGACTGAAATACCCCTTCACTAACACCACTAACATTTTTATCAGCAAAAAGAACTGAGAATTGTATTAAAAAGTGCTAAATTTTGAAATTACAATGAGTCCCATCAATCCCCACAAGGTACAAATGTTACAATTGCACCCAAAACAATTGTTGCCTATTCTGTTTTGCAAGAGTATCAGCCATCCCATTTTCAGTCCTTCTTACCCAATTGAAAGTAATGTTCAGCTCCTGTTTTATGCTTTCAATTTCCCTATATAGATCCATGGCATGAGCTGAATAATCTTTGCCCAAGAAATGATAAGCTTTGTATCCCCCCTCTACTTCCAACTGTTGAAAGTTTGCTTGTTTGGCAAGTCTTAAGCCTTGAAGTAGTACGATCAATTCTGCCTTTAATGAGTCTCCCAATCCCAAGGGACCTGAAAACATAGCCAAAACTTTCCCTGTGCAGTCTCTAAAAACTCCTCCAAAACCTGTCATTCCAATGTTTCCCATGGAGCTCCCATTAAAATTCAAATTTATTTTATTTTCTGCTGGGGTGACCATACCATAACCCTCTTTTCCTTTTCTCTTGAGGAGGCTGCCACTTCAGACCATGCCCTTATGATGTCATTTACTAAAAAATCTTTGAATGCATCAATTGTCCTTATCTAGTGAGCTGCTATATTTAGAATAACTTCACATAATTCCTCCTTTGATCTGATTTTCTCATTAAAAATTCTTCTATTTCTTTCCTCTCACAGTCCATACTACTACAGTCCAAATTGCTTTCCACATAATTCTTCCCCTTTCTTGGTTGTCTTAAGAAGCTTGGGCAATAAGCACACTATATCCTGTGGAGATATCCACCTGTAGCCAAAAAGAGAGCAGCAGAATTCCCAAATACCAAGAATAAAAGAGCAAGACAGCAATAAATGAGATAGGGTTTCACCACTTGCATGGCAAAGGAAGCATATGTGGGGTGAGAGGCTAACATTTGGCCTTCTTTTCTGAAGCAAATCACAGGTATTTATCTTTCCAAGACAAACTTCCCAACACAAAGCCTGGATTTTAGGTGGGATAAGCTTGCTCCAAACTTCTTTCACAGGAAAGTTCTCCCCCAAGTTATTGGACTGCAAGAGAACATTAAGGAAGCACAAGTGAAAATACCATTAGGGGTACAAGACCAAATTCTAGTGTCCTCCCTTGACTGATCAGGGAAAGTTTGGTCGAGTTTACCCAGTGATTGGATGAGTACCTCACATTCATTGTCCCTCAAACCCCTTCTAAACCCGAAATCCCAGTTAATCCCTGAAGGAGTCAAGGAAGCAAATCTCGAGACAGGTTGTTGTTTATAGTTCAACAAGGAATAAAGGCTAGGAAAGGCAAACTGAAGGGGGGTTTCAACCATCCAAAGGTCTTCCCAAAACAATACCCAGGTCCCACTTCCCACATCATATCTGATATAGTTGATAAAATTTGGGTACACCACCTGTATTGATTTCCAAGGAGGCAGAGAGGTTGCTGAAGAGGCTACTTCTGCATCCCATCCATTATTCGGTGTCCCATGAATGCTTGCAATTACTGTATGCCACAAGTATGTCATTTTCCATCAGAAATCTCCATAACCATTTCCGTAACAGTGCTGTATTTCTGGAGGCTAGGTTCCCTATTCCAAGTCCACCCTGCTCCTTTGGTTTGCTAACTTGCACCCACTTCACAAGAAGATCCCTCTTCTCGTCCCCTGGTTCCCAAAGGAAGTCTCTCATGATATTCTCTAGTCGATTTGCAACTCTAGCTGGAATTCTAAAGGTGGAAAGATGGTAAATAGGTACAGGATAGGCCAGGCTTCATTTCTATCAGAAACCAATCAAACAATTTCATTGATGTGTAAAACTAAATTAGATACAAGAAGTACAGAATATGCCAGGTTGACACCAGCCAGAGACCACAAAAAGTATCATCTCAAGAAAGGAAATAAAACATCTATCCTCACCCCACCCCACCCCCACCCCCTGAGAATAACTTTTGATGTTATAAATTGAACAGAGAGAATAAAAGCAAAACTTTTGCACACAAGGGATATGCTTTGGAATTAGTTCACTAAAAGCCACAGATATAGGTAGCTGAATGAGCAAAGACCAGTTAAATTCGGTTGCTATATGATTGACTAAAAAGTCTATCTTATGGTATATAATTTTCATCAATGTGTAATGTTGAACAGAGAAAATATAGCCAAAGTTTTGGTCACAAGTTTGGAACTAGTTCACTTATCATTATTTACAAGTAAATTGCTCAATAATCATCAAATAAACTACAAAGTATGAGAAAATGTTGAAGATGACTTCTTCATCAGAAAAGGTTCCTTGCTAGAAAATACAAATGCATAATGGGGTACAGTTGCAAAAAAGGCTAATGAATGCTGATAAATCATGCCTGTGCATCAGTTATCTGTCGAAGAGGAGAACCACCACCGATTGAAGCATATCCTTCTTTGCTCTTAGGTGCCCTCACCACAGATATGAATTGTGCCAGAGGCTTTTGAAGAAATCGGAACAATCTTGGCAGCCGAATAATATCCTGTCATTTAAAATGTCAAAAACTTGAAAAGGGGAAAAAAAGAAAATTCTAAGATGAAGATGTGATAGTAGAAGAGTGGTTGAATCCAAGAAAAAAGCCTATATAATACAAACCATGTGGTGAGTTTGGTGACAAGCATTTAAGTTTACACTGCATCTTTATCTGAAGAAATTAACAATTTTTATCTTATTACATTTTAATCTGCAGGGAATATTACAAATTCTTATCTCTTGATCCTTTTCAAAAACAAGAATTTACCCCCATAGTGGGCTGATCTAGTAATCAGCTAAGCTATGAAATCTTCCATCATAAAAGGCAAAGCCATATGGTGGAAGATGCGCTTTTAGGTGATATGACCTCGGAATAGAAGGAATGCAAAGATCTCTAAAAGGACAAGAGCTACAATAAGTGGACAAATGACAAATTTTTTATAGTGTATTGGAGGCCAATAAGTGCATTTATTCTAGGTGGCATCTAAGACAGAGAATGCATAGGGTTATGCACAATGGAGTTTTGGAGTGTTATTAAGGCTCCATTTGTTTGTAATGCAATATCATTTGCACTAGTACAAATGCATGGGAGTGAAAATTCTAGTTCAATTTTATTTTGGGCTTTGCATTACTTTGTTTTAGGTATTAATTTACTTCATCTACACTGCAAACAAACAAAATAAGGTAAAAACTAAAACAAAAATAAACCATAATTTGCATTCATTCATTTGCACTCCTATAGTTTTGCCCCAGTGCAAATGAAATTGGTTGCAAACAAACCAGGCCTAAATATCTATTGCAGAAGGTTAGGTTCAGAGGCCAGAGATAAATGGTGTCAATGGACGTCAAAATGCATTATCTACTACCTCCCTTTCAGTGGATAATTAATGGTGCGTCTGAAAGTTGCTTCCTAAGTGAAAGAAGGTTATGCCAAGGTAGTCAACCAAAGTAAAGTGATTCAAATGTTGGGTAAAAATGGATCCTCTACCCAAATATGCACATGACATCTTGCTATTTTGTGATGCATGCCATGAGACTATATATTGGAGATGCCACTTGGTATATTTTGAGGCAGCAGAAGGACCATAGTAAATACGTATATGGAATAAATGTGGTACATGAAACATTTGTGTACACCTCAGAACCAAGAACAAAAAAAATGTGGAAAAGTTAGTCAAAAAAATGTGATGCCATAAAGAACAGATAGATAAATGCTTGTAGGAACTCAGTAAAATCTGAAAGGATGGAAAAACTTACTTAGTTACTTGGAGGTTACAGATAGGTTGAATTAATAACTTTTTATGTCTTCTAATATGTAGAACTACAGTTCCAATCTATATTTAAATCAAACCTACTGAAATGAAGAGAACCTAAGAAAAATAACATAGTAGGATAGAGTAGTAGATGAGGGGTAGGTTTTAAGGAAATAACTAAAACATGTTCCAAAAGCAAAAAAATCCAATTTCTCATTCCATTCTTCTGAGAGAGAAAACATGAATAGGAAATAGTGGGATAAACTATTTTTCACAATAATTATGGAATTTCCACTGAATACTAAGGGGGATATCTAACCTATTGACCCAACGACTGTGAAACTTGAAATGAACCCTACCAATGGCTTCAATAACTTTTTTTTTTTTTTTTGAGAAAAAGTTAACCAGATTTCATTGATAGAGATAATAAGTACATGAGTAGGTGTACTAAAAGAGAAAACAGCAGAAATACAAAATTACAAGGGGGGAAGCTTGTTGCTGTATAAATTTTCTAGGTTCGCTCCCAATTTAGCTAATCCATCAGCAATATGATTCATCTCCCTCAGGATCCACTTCAGAATAACATTCAAATGCTCCAGGGTGTCTCTTGCCTCTGACAGATAATGACTCAACCTCCATGGGCCCCCCTCCTTCTCTTTCGGCCATTTGATGGTATTGACCGAATCTTCTACTATGGATAATTTCTGAATGCCTAGGCTTTTTATGATTCTGATACCTGTGAGGGCTGCCATCACTTCAGCCTTTTTTGAGTCTGTAATACCTAATGGACCACTAAACGCCCAACAAATCAGTCCCTGTTCATCCCTCAAAATTCCACTTATCCCAGCTTTGCCCGAATTGCCTGCAGCACACCCATCAAAATTTAGAATCATCCCTGCTTCAATTCGATGAAGCTGAAGACTTTTGGTTGGTTGAGGGTGATTTGGGAGAAGAAGGATGAATTGGATATTTCTGTTAAGATCATTAAGGGATAGGTCTTGAAACATCTCACTGTTAACGGCCCATGAGTTACAACAGAAGAAGATATCTACGATTAGGTCCTCTAGAGATCTAGATCTGTTTTCAAAAATACGCCTGTTTCTTTCCTCCCAAATTCCCCACAAGACTGCATGAACCACGGTTTGCCAATACACTTTACCTCTTCTGCTCGAACCTGGCCCATACCACTGGTTGAGAAACTCCTAAATGTGTTTGGGAGAGACCCAACTATAGCCTAACAGGTTTAAAAAATGCCACCATATCTTTTGAGAAAAGCTACAATGAATGAGTAGATGATCTGCTGATTCCCCTTCTCTTAGGCAAAGCACACATACATGAGGAGAGATATAAACTTGCAATAACTGGACTCCAAATAAAATTTAAAACGAATAAGTTACCCCTATGACAAATTTGTTTTTGATAGGAAACGATAACTTTCATTAATAATAATAGTTAAAATTTACAACTGTCACCATCCAAGGAGCAGATGGAGAGCCCTTTGACAAATTTAGTCTCACAAGTAAGCCCAAAACATCTCCTGCCTATTTACTCCTTGCTAAGCTAAAGCATCATCATTCCATTTGCTGATCTTCTTGCCCACTTAAACTGCACCCCCATGACAAAATTTATAAAAAATAAATAAATTGAAAATTCCTAGACTCAACTTTAGGACATTTTTTATGCCCAAGAACAGTACCAGTACCAAGGGGATGAAGAAGAGAATGGAAGATAAGAGTGAATTGGCCTACCTATTTTTTCAAAGGATCCAAAGAGATTGAAAGAAGGATACAGATAAAATAAGTTGGTTCTCCTACGAGTAGGGAAGGAAATAAATTGGTAGAACTAGTGCCAAAAGGTTGAAAGGGGGATTACAATGGCCAAGCTCAGATTTCAAACCTCAATGGCCAAGCTCAGATCATTTGTCCATGTGGTAGCGTCCAAATGTGAAAAAAGACAGTTGGATGGGTAGAGAACTTTGACTCATTTGCTCTTGGTGGCAGGCCGTTCCTAGTAGGTGACATTTTGTAATGTTCCAACGGAACATTCCTAGAACAGAAACATAACTATATCTTTGATACACAAAAGAGAAATGGAGTTCGTGCAGGCAGGTCAGTGGAGGAGATCCTTGAAGATAGAAGCAAAAAATTTCCTGTTCGAAGAGATGAGAATCAAGGGGAAGGTAAGCCTGAAGGTAAGGGAAGCGAAAAAGGGTACAATATTGCTGGAAGGATTAGAAGTGATCTGAGTGGCTAAGAGAGTTCATAGCTGGAGCCTGTTCAAAAGGT